TAATACAGTGACCTTTAAACATACAAAAGAATGGTCAACAAGAGTTCTGGTAGCGTAGTGCCCAAGGCACTTGACTGCTAATGAGAAGGCTGGCGGTTCAAACCCACCAGCCACTCCTCGGAAGGAAGGTTGGGCAATCTACTTCCGTAGTGATACTGCCTCGGAAACCAAGGAGGGGTTCCTGTGAGTAGGGGCCGACTCGATGGCACACAACAGCAACATGGTGACCCTATGTGTGTCAGTGTAGAACTCCATGGAGTTTTCAGTGGCTGATTTTTTGGAAGTCGGCCTCTAGGCCTTTCTTCTGTGGTGCCCGCCTCTGAGTGGGCTCAAACCACCAACCTTCCAGTTAGCAGCCAAATGCTTATCCGTTTGCGTTACCCAGGACCTACCTTAAGAGAAAAGCACTGTATACTTACAAGAAGTATGCTGTTATTACTGAAAAGGGACTTTCAAGGGCTCCAGGACATCTTTCCCCTAGCTGGAGGCACAGGTGAGAGAAGGAGACACCTAGAGGGAGAACAAGAGGGTGTTCTTTAGCACAGTCTGTGAGCAAGCATTCACTGTTCCAAGCAGGAGACATGATTGTACCATTTGCCCCGGATTCGTCAAAAAACCTATGGTCAGATATGGTTCATGGCCCAGATATCTTGACCCAGTTGTCTGTTAGTGTAAACAGAGCCAATTTTCACAGCCTGGAGTAGAGTGGGTGGTAAATCATTATTGAAACCAGTGTACACATTGATTGGAAAAGCAGATTTCCTTTAGAAAATTACCCCTCGATTAGGGATTTCATTTGAAAAGAGCAAGTGCAGAAATGGCTCAGCAGAACCCTGTGGACAGGTTTCCACAGCTCATGTCCACCCAGCCTCCTGGCTGCATTTGTAAGTGCTCGAAACTTACATATTTTAAGAGGAGCTTAAAAATTAAATGTGGTGGGGGCCATCAGAGGTGCCACTGTTTAATTCACAGAGCGGATGAGCCGGGCTCTGGGTCTCCCCAGAGAGGCTCCTCCCCAGGCTCTGTTTCATGCAGACGCTAGTAGGAAATGAGATTTATTAACTGGCCCTCTGCCCACCGCATCTTCGTTTGCATACGCCAGGCTTTTAAGAATGAGTATATAAGTCTAGGGGACTATTTCCACATGGGTGTTTGAACATGCAGCCACAGTAGCATATGTTTTTGAGTACTTAAAAAAAGAAACTACTTGGCCCCAGGAAATGGACTGTAAAGACAAAACTAAAATTTAAAGCCTAAAACTTTTGCCAATTTCGAGAAATGAACCATTGTTAAGAAAAAC